CCCCCCCCCCTCGCGTACGCCACTGCGCGCATCCTTAGACTTTCAGTTAATTCATTCAACTGGTCCTATGAGACAATGATCGTGATCGCGCACGGTATCGTCCACGAGGAGCGGGGGTGGGTTCACGGCTCCCGATGGCGGTTCTTCGATTGATTCCGGGCGAATCGACGTTCCCTAACTTCTGCGGCGCAAAGTGATTGAAGATATTACGAAATGCTGTTCAGCAGGTAGTCCTGTTCAACTCCACCATTCGAATTCACCCTTTCGCAGGCCGGCGCGAACCATACTGACCCCGCTGTTTGAATAGACACTCTCTAGAAAGCTAGAGAGAGGGAGTTTCGCGAAGGTTTCACGCCACGCTCCGCAGGTATTCCGAGAAGTATAGCCCTGTCGATTTCATTCGCCCCGGTAAGCACGCTCCGAGAGTCGGCAGTTTAGCCTAAATTAGCTTCAAGAGTTTTTCAAGAGTGCAAATGACCGGCTCTTTGCATTCGCCGACCGCTTCCGGGCATGGGCTTGTATCGGAGCGAATCGACCGCTCCGGCTCTCCTTGCTATCATCCGCGGTCGAACATTGGAGGAGCGGCAGTTCTGGATCGAGAGCGGGTAGGAAGGCTTTCTATGCCCCTCGTCCTGGAGGAGAGAGGAATCCTCCGTGGTTGACTCATTTCAGTTGTTTTGGAATCATTCGAGCATCACCTATCTGGCGTCGAGCAAGAGGTCCCGGGAACAAACTCGGGGAACATGTCTTTTCTGTGAGTATTTCTGTGCATTAGCGTTGCGTCCGTGATCCCGTGCTCCATTTCGCAACTTGTCCGCCGCCCCGATCCGTAGGGGGGAAACGAGAGCGCTCCTCGCTTGTGCGTCGATGCTATTCTCTGGGAACAGGCGGGTCAAGGACATCGGCCCGAGTTTGCAGAGATGAGGTCCCCGAGAGCCGATCGAGTCGCTCAGGTATCTGAAGATGCGTCGCATTAATGACTGAATTTCTTTCCAGGAGCGGGTTGTGGAACTCCATCGATGAATTCACCTTCCGGAGGCTCATCCAACCGTCTTTCGACTTGGCGCTCTCAATAGACGCGGACAAGTTGCCAACTCTGATCATCCAGGCGATAACTGCGCTCGTCGGTCTCCTGGGGATATTCTCGGGACAAAACTCGGTGGAGTTCTTCCGACCGCGAGTTCCCTTGACTGCACCCTCGGAGCTATTCCCGTCGTACGACTTCATTGTGGTCGGGGGAGGTATCTCCGGATGCCTGGTGGCAAAAAGACTCTCCGAAGCTGGTCATACCACTTTGCTGATCCATGGACCGGGAACACTGCCGAATACCTTGAGCAGAGTCCCGCTGTTGAACTACGGGTACCTCGGCCATCCAGACCACGATCATTCGTATAAGGGTCCTAAGCTGAATTCCCGATGGGGTAATCAAACTCTGCTCTACAACTCCGGAAAAGATCTCGGTGGATCTCAACTACTCAGTGCTCAGATGTGGTCCTACGGAAAAACTGGCGATTTTTCCTGTTGGAGAAAGAAGTTCGGCATAAGTGAGAAATTCAGTCAGGAGAGCATCCGCGCCGCTGGAGAACTCCACGAGTCCGCCGCCAAAGAAGTCAAGGGATCGCGTCACCCCTACGGAATCTCCGGAGAGATCAAGCTGAGCTTAGCACCGAGCTGGGCACCTTTTGAAAGTAAGTTCGAGAAAGCTTTCCTGAGAACAGCGGCCAATGTGACGGGAACCAGGGTCAACAAGGATCAGAATAGCGACAATCTGGGTTTCGGCAAAATAGTCCACGCCGTCGAAGCGGACACCGGCTACATAAGCTCACCAGTGACGGCGTTTTTCGAGAGCACTGGCGTTCCGGACACTCTGCACATCGTGACCCGTCACATGGTGCGAAAAATCCTCTTCGATACCACTGCATCAATTCCACGAGCCACAGGAGTCGAGTTCGTGCACGCCGAAGACAAGAGCGGTCGGAGAGTTTACGTGAAGAAGGCCTCGAAGCGGGTAATCTTGACCGCCGGTGCCGTCCGAACCCCTCAACTCCTGACGGTTTCCGGTGTGGGATCAAAATCCGACCTCAAGAGATGGAAGATCAAGCCCGTCGTGACGAGGAACGGCGTGGGACAAAACCTCCACGACCACTACGATATTGGGAACGCCGCTGTCTGTTTCCCGCGAGGCACGAAGGGTTACGAAGACTTCGGGCCGCAAAGAATGCTCGGGTTCTCGTTTTTCCGGCGCGGTCAGCTCCGAGCCCCCCTCGGAACCCAATCGTACGGTTTCTTCAACTCTAAACAGAAGAATTTGACCACTTGCCCCGATCCGAGAGACATTGAAAATTGTCGCCCCGATTTCGAGCTGGTCTTCCAGCACTTCGGACAGAACACTCAGGCGACCGTGAAGCCGTATCTAGGTCTTGGAGTTTCTGAGAAACATCTGCAGGAGGATTTCTATTTGCAAGGTAGAGACAAAAGCAAAGCGAGGGACTACTTGGATATACATTTCCATCAAAAGGATTGCATAATGATGACGCCGACAATGCTGCATCCGGAATACCGCGGTCAGATTACTCTGACGTCTAATAATGCCCTCGACGCCCCTATTGTGGATCTGAAAACTATATCGAATTCCCGAGACATGATACTCATTGGCGAGCTGTGGCAAGTCATCAAGAAGATAAGCAATGAAGCTTTCGGACCTATCGGCGGGAAGTTTGAGGATACTCCGTTCTCCGAATGCAAAGGAATTCAGGACAGAGACTCCTTCGAGTTCGGAAGGTGTCAGGTTGAGCGGTATCTGAAGAGTGCTTGGCACCTGGCGGGAACATGTCGTATCGGTCGGAGAGACGACCCCATGGCCGTCGTCGATGAGAGCTTCCATGTAATCGGGGTCCGCAATCTCGTGGTCGCCGATGCATCGCTCATTCCCTGCCCTACTAGTGGACACATGCTGCCGACGATAGCTTCCTTGGCGGAAATGGCTGCTCAGGAACTTATTGCAAAATTCAGAATATCTAACGCCTGAGAGATCCATAGAAGAATGATATTTGGGGATGTTAAACTTAGATAATAAATTTAGACGAGCATCGTCTCGACGTTCCATCCCCGAATAATTATTCTCTGACCTCGGAATGAGTTCTTCCTTCTCCCGCTTACGGAGGGCGCGGGAGTCGAGTTTCCGATCAGAGTACGATCAGAGTACTTCGCTTTCTCATCCATGACCGAACATCGGGACTCCTCGGATGCTCCAGTTCCGGTTCTCGGGCAGATCCATCGACAGGCAGCGGATATCGTTTTGTGGATGGACATAAGGAGCTCACGGTGAGGATGATCGAGGAAACTGCAAATGGGGGACCATACGATCAGAACCTTCTATCTAGTAAATCGAATTTCTTCTCATCCGTCCTTAGAGAAAGCAGGCGTTGCTGCTCATGGGGTGAGGGACTCTGATGCGTACTACAGTCGCTCCGGGAGTGAATTCGGGACCGTACTCCGACTCCGTAGTGATCGACCACTGCGACGCGAACCACTGGATGGAACTCTCCCGATGGGTTACGTCTCCCGTCGATAGGGATCCCTCGCAGCGGAAGCAGCTTGCGCAGGAAGGATCGAACTCCCGCCCAACGGCGGTCCTCGCAGGTGCGCTCGGCTGGACTGATCGCCGCTCTTCGCGCGGATCGAACCCCGCGCTCCTACTCGGAGTGCTGAAGTTCTTCAGACCGAAGAACCTCCAACCGGTCAATCGATCTTCAACAATGCGATGGTAGGGATTCGCCCACGGCGGCGCCTCCAGATTTGTGTTCGTGAAGCTCATGAACGTTTCCCCGTCTCCACAGTCGGAAGTTTCTTCGAGAGGAGCTTGAACCACTGAAAACTCAGAGTCAGATTCTCGGAGATATTAGCAGCAGCGTAGTGAGTGAGGATAGGATCAGGCTTTCACCGCTCTAGAGTAATAAAGATCGGGCTGCTAGATGAGAGGCCAGTGATTTCTTGTCCCTCGCGAGCTCATGGTGCAGAGAGCTCCTCGCAACGAATCACGCAGGCCACCGGTGGGCTGGCTGAGACCTTTGACTCCGGTCGATTCAGTTTTCTTCTTTGGGCTTGTGCGCACCGGAACGTTCCGACCGGAATGAGCCCATCATCAGCAATCTTTCATAAACCGATGGAAAGACTAGAGACCGATCGTGGCCCGCCTCCCAAGACAACAACTACGTGGAAGCCGCCCGCCTCCCAAGGCAACAACTACGTGGAAGCCGCCCGCGCCCATGCGCTTGAAGGCCGCCCGCGCCTATGCGCTTAAAGACCATCCGGTCGATGTTGTTTCCCTTGCTCTTTCAAAATAAGCGCGAGAGAAATCAGCTGGAGCGGAAAACTCGATGAAGTAAAGACAGCAGTACCTGTGTTGGGAGGCCCTCGAAGTTTCTCGCCGAGTTGCATCAGTCCTGACGTAGTCAGAGAGCTCGTCGCGCATGTCACCGTCGAAAGCTCTCGATCCCTGATGAAAGTCAAAATTAAAAGTAAGGGCGATTTCATCCGGCAATCGAATCTGCCTTCGCGATGTGTGGGGAAGTCAATGCCGCATCCGCCAGATCGAACTAGATTGGATTTCTGCTTATTATCATGCACGGTGAGTTCTTTAAGCCCGCTTGGTTCACGATTTCAGAATGGACGACAGTAGCGACGTGGAAGTGGTTGGCGAACGACGACAATTGCGGTATGTTAATCGGTTCCGGGGAATTATCATGCGAGTTCCGTTAGCGTACCTGAATGATCGAATCGCTCGCTGCAATCATCTTCATTTTCCACATATTCCTCACAGCCATGTTCCTCACAGGAATCTGTCGAATGCCCTTCGAGTCATGCTGCCCAGATTGCCGGCTTCCCGGCGATGGATGCCCACTTGTGTGGGGTAAATGCTCCCATTGTTTCCATATGCATTGCATCGTGAAATGGATACAGTCCCAACAAGCCCAGCAGCAGTGTCCCATGTGCCGACAGACGTGGAATTTCAAAGAATAGATCTCTTGTAAGCTTTCGAGAAGCGATGCTATCGCGGTCATAAGCCCCATGTAACTCAGGGAGCTCTGTACATAATAAAATGAACTGTCGAATCTTACCGTGCAAGGATTCTTCCCCCTAATTCTCCCCTGGCCCAGCCTATGATCCTGTTCCCATGCTCCCTCGACACAGCTTCGGATTTCGGTCCATTCGAACATACGTCAGTGAAGATAAAACGCACATTCCCGGGAAGTTCAGATGGAGCTTACTTGGACAGATCGTGAGAGAGAATAAGCTCAGAAATGGCACAAGTCTTTATGTATGAAACTTAAATTGACTGTTTTCTTCTGTAGATGATCTAATGGGAAGGATCGACCGCACGACGTAGATGGGAATCCTGTCAGGAATCCTCGTGGGTCCCGGAAACTACTGACATACGGTCTAGGCCGTCAGACTCTAATATATACATCACAAAAAGAATATTCCGTCCGAAGTCAGCTTCGGCTGTAACTCCCTGCATTCTTGCATTCGCTCTCTCTACGGCGCGCCTCCGCTCGAACCTATGAACAGGCATCCATACTCGGTCCTGTTCTCGAGCTGACCGCGCAGCCAGCTCATAACGTAATATCTCACAAAGTAACCGTTTAGGTTCCGGACGGTGGGAATTTGATTTCTTGAGTTAGAGGGTCGGTCAGGCACTCATCCATCTTCCGGTTAGCTCCTTCGAGCGCTACCAGAGCTCGCATTTATCCGGCGGGTTCATTGCCGAATCCTCCGGACAAGAGAAGGTTTCGCTGAATTCCGGCAAATTCCTGAGTGATCCAATGACTCTGTGGAGATTGAATGCGTGCGTATGAAAGAGCTCCACACGGTTTGAAGGATACGATTCGTGAGGATTTCCTCAAGGACGAGCGTGACGCTTACTCCTACCTGAATTCATTCGGTGTGTGTTCATCATTATAAATCAAGTCGCGGAGCTCTTCTTCCGCGAGCTTGTGACAGAAGTCCTGCGCGAAACTCACGAAAAACCACTGCTCTAAGCTCAGACGCGTAGTCGATAAGGGATATAGGTCGAAGCTTGAGCGCAACCACGACTTATAAGCCTGATAAAAATCCAGAGATGATTATTTGAGGATTCTCAAATCAGCGTCTTTCGTTATTCCTGATCCTTCCCTAGATAGGAGTTGCGATATCAATAGTCAGAGAATCCTCACTTGGAAAGCGAGTTTTACACCGCCGAAATCGGCGAGGTTCTCCCCGAGGGTGTCGCTTCCCTTCACCTGGAACATTTTTCCTACCATGGAGTTCTTCGCGATCGCCTAGTATCTAATTCATTCTCTGATCGACGCCAGCAAGCTACCGAAAAGGTCTCAAACCAACCCGCATTCCGTCAATGGTGTAGTTCGAATACTGATCGACGAAGCATTCCAATCGTTCTTCGAAGGTCTCAATGGTCGAGTTCTCCCACCATTGCCGTACGTTGCCTTGAAGTGATCGAAGCGAAATTGGAATGATTCGATCCGAGTATGTCAAAGCTGCTCGCAGAGAGGGCTGGAACCGGCTTCTCGATCTCATGAGACATCTTACCGTCAATATCGTATTGCCTCCCGATATTGTCCAAGGAATGGAAGAGTTCATGAGCGATCGTGAATCCCATGAGCCCGAACTGATAAAACCTGATTGGGAGTCGGATTAGCTCGGGTGTGATTCAATTTATCCGAAGCGCATCTCAAGAGGATTTCCACGCGGAACCTACCTCGGGTAGAAGATGCTGTACCGCGGCGCTTGCATGTAGGCAGCGGGAATGGCCACGGTGTTCCGACTTACACTATAGAAAGCGTTAGACTGAAACCGGAGAAAATTACTCCCTATGAATATGAACTCTCTAAAAGGACAAGACGACCAATAACTGGCCTCAAGCTCCGGACTCATGAGCCTACCTCCGCGGGAGAAATTTCCTCGCCGATATCCTCCAAGTACGGAGGTGCGATCATTTTTCTGCAGGATGTCTCCCGACGGAATAGGCGCCCCTGGAGATTCATTTCGAAGAATCCACTGTCTTCGAAGCTCAGGTCAGCGTATTCCGAATCGACTTGTTCCGGATCCAAGATCGACGCTTCATAGCCGAGCATGAATCTTATATTCTCGATCTAGAAAAGTTTCTTCATTAGATTAGAGCAGACGCCCACGCTGAGCCCCATTGAGAGTCCTGCTTTCCCTAGGAAGGACTCTCGATGGTGATTCTCTAAATGGGAGATTTCGTTTAAGACTCGAGCAAACCTTGTCTAGAGTGGCACCGTGCGATTCAGGGTCCATCCATTGCACATTTCCTATGGTTTCCACGAAGTTGAATTTTATGAGCTCTGCCAGGGTCCGCACCTGTGCAATTGAACCGCGGTCCACGAACTCTCGAACGTAAATTGCGCTTACGGCCAGTGGTAACATTATTTTTGTCGCCTCCAGACACATTTGGTCGACAGAGTTCTTATCCAGATCTTCATTATTCATGGGTAGTGCGACAGACGAAAAATCGACGATCATTTGGAATCCGATGTGGGTCGAGAGGGTCCTGGGAACAAAGTGGAGTTGTTCTGCTGCCGAAAGATGTAATCATCTGAACCTTCATATTATCGTATTACTTCCAAGGGAGTTTTTCATCACGAGAGAAGGGGAATCGGAAATAATTTCTCATCATCTTTGCTCGTAAGAGGCTCTTACGCTCGTCCCTCTTCCGTTCCCATGTATTGAAGCAGAATATCCGATAATGTCTTGAAGCCGTCGAGATCTTCCACTAGAATTTCGGTGTCTTGGTCCACTTCGATGTCAACCTGATGACATCAACACTCAGTTCGACTTCTGATCTATCGCGAATGAACAATTCGACAACTTTCCCATTTGAAGGACTCCATTCTGATGTCGAACCCTCCTCGAAATTCATCGTTCTATTTCTCGATCCCAGCTAGAGACTCGTCTGGACACCCGATATCAACCTCGAAAGCCGCGAATGGGGGCCGACGAGGAATACGCACTTGGGAAAATGCTGAATCGAAGAAATGGAGCCAGTTTAGGAAGGGCAGCTCGGCCTGGAGGGAGGCGATGCTGATTCGCGACATGGATGCCTGAGGAAAGGTGAGGGGACGTGAACAAATACCGGGTACAGATGACAAGATAAACCCTCTATGAGGTGCTGCTCCGAACGCGAGCCTACCTCGACGGCAGAGAAGAATGGGGCATCCGGAATACTTTCGAGTGCACGTTGCAGCTGCACGATATCATCCAAGGAGCTATTACTGTTCAGATTGCTGTATACCTTGAATGAGAGACATAAGACGAACATCAATGAATGTGGTCGGTCTGTAATAGTTGACGCTGACGATTCAGACCCGATTCATCTTCCGCCTTCGATAGCCAAGGCGAACCTGCGAGCGCTGGTACCGAAGCCAATGTTCAAAACCTTCATCGGTAATACAGTCGAGAGTTCCTTTGAACGAACCCTAGGGAGCGACCCAAAGACGGTTCCGAATCCGTTAGCAGGCGAGGCGCCTGTGGCCTTGACCCGAAGTTTCAATTGGAGGAATTTCGACCTATCAAAGAGTTGCAGATGTTGTTTCGACACGGGAGAATCTCGACGAGAGACCTCTTCAAATGAGGGAGACCTGACCATTTGTGATCTCGAAGATCACTCCATGTCCAAGCTCCCAGTCACCACTTATGCGCGCAGAGGAATCTTGTCATCGCCCAATTCGAAGGAAACACGGAGGAGCATTCTATGCACTGGGAGATGGGATTGAATTGACTGATGTAATTAGCGGGCGACGACTGCGTGAAATCGAGCACATTAGTCCGGAATCCTCGGTGACGAACTTTTAAAAAGCCCGAGAACGTGTTCTGAGCGCGGAATAATAAGTGACAATATCGACAAAGACATGTTTTGGCGTGGAACAACATGGAATATTGGGTCGAGCGTCTCCAGACTTAGCTCATTCTGGTGGGATTAGGTTAACCGAATGATTTGCATTCATTCGTCTCCATTGCGTCGACTAAATCGCCATCGAAGTAATGGTCTCCCGATGCGGAATCGAAGCCGTAACCGGCTGTCGGAACAGGCCAACCGACGGAGCCAGGGCGGGGGTGCATTCAAAAATTCGGAAACCTCGCCGTAGGAATGACATATCTCGTGCTCTTTCCCAACCCGATCGGGAACGCAAGGGGGTCCGATGACTTGCCCGAACTCGTTTTGCGAATACACCAGAAGCTCACCTGCTGTAAATACTCCGGAAGATCATCCAGAGGATCCGTTCCCGGAGCCGCATCCAGATGCAAGAGCTTGGTCAGGTTAACGGCATTGCGGTCCAGCTTGAAAACGACAACGGAATGAGACTATTGCGGATATATTACAATAGTAGATATAGATAGATATAGATTACAAGACTAAAAACTGAGCTCCAGGCGTATCCTCGACCTCCCCTCACCGCGATGATTTTCCGCGAAGAGTTTCTCAAGTCATCGATCAAATCCCATCTGAAAAACACTCTCTGTCCATACAAGTGAGCTTTCGTGAGAGCTTTTTGGAGAGACCATCGGGAAGCGTTGTACGTTGGACCCCATCCTCCCATATCCTTCAATTCGAAATTTCAGCTGAGTCTCCGGTCATCCGATGGTTCGTGTGTGTATAATAATTTTTTATACTGTGTGTGGTTCACGATCTCAGAAAAGTGAATTCACCTCTACGTGGAGGAAGAACGGCTCGAATCCTCGAGAGGCGATATCTTCCCGGTCCGAACATCTGTTGAAATATTGCCGAGCGAGGTTCTCCGCTCGGGAGTCCAGAGTAGCGCCTGCATCACCTTCTCGTGGTCAGAAGAAAATGTGAGAAGGAGTCGACCTCATCTCCGAACGCAATGCGATAGGTCACGTATCTCAACATGGTGTGTCGACGTGAATTGTTGTAATCATTCAATATCATTCAGCATCGAGGCGGAACACTACACCACACGAATCGAGCGATCATCGCCCACACATTCGATCGGCAGAGGAACTTACTCAGAATTTGCGAAACTCTCCGAACACGAGAAGAATCGTCCTTCCGGTTGGAATCGATGCTTCCGCAGGCATATTCATAGAAATTATCGCATGGATCGACCTGAAAAGCGATATCGATGAGGGAAAGTTCCGTATTGCTGAAGAATTCCCGTCTATTCAATTCGGAGGGGCTCTCCAATGCGTGGATTTAGACACCCTGACCGCAAGCAGATCCGCACTCATAGAATTGAATGCTATACGTCGCAGTTCGCCGGAGCAAATCTCGAATCACGATGCAGATCTTAGTGATGAACGACTTACCGACAAATTCATTGTTTTCTCGAGCAACCGCTCTAGGAAGAGGCATTCCGGAGTTTCACATGTGGGAATCGACGTCCCTAGACTGACCCCTGCTGTCTCCGTTTCCTTCCGGAGCAGGAATCCTAGAAAGGGACGAAATGTCGAGTCATTGTGATGAGGTCCATAATTGCTGACTCGAGGGGCCTTGCAATGCTGGGACACATCGGATTGCCACCCGAATGGTCCTGAATACGATAGCTCTGCTCTCCTCAGTCTTCGCCAAGCGAAAACATATTCCGGTAGTCTCCCTCGATCAGGAGCCGGTATCGGATTCCTCCCGCTATCGAGTTTCCGGACAGCGTACACCGAAGATCGCAAGAAGATCTTAAAAAGTGGCAGGAAACCCTCTGACCTTCCGAAACTCACCGTGAACCAGAGCTACGGTTAGAAAAGCGATGATGGTCAGGAGGACCGAGAGGACGGCTAAGGCAAGGCGTCGCGATACGCCTCTATTTTCTTGGAAATCATTTGTGATCTCCATCATAAGGAAGGCTCCTGGGCGTCTGGAGCTTGGAATGATCGAGCTGCCGCCTGCTTCGCAACGCAACGAAGAAACAAGGTGCAAGTGCGATGCTCAACGTCCTCATCGGCTCGCCACGCTTCGTTTTGATTGGCCCCTGAGAGCGCGACCTGGCAGCGACGCTCGACAATTGGATCGAACTTGTTCCACTATCCGAACATGTTACCAATCACAGTGACACACACTCAAGTCTCGGGACTGTTCGGGAGTCTGGTACGCATGGCAGTCCCAGTCACACAGACCGCGCGGATATGGCGACTTCGGATGACTCGACAGCGGCGACTATAGCTTTGTAAGAGAATCTCTTTTTCCCTCTCCACAGAATCTGACAGAATGAGATAGGAGCCTGTAAGGGTTTTTCAGTCAGAATGCAGAATGTTCCAGCCCATGCACGCTCAACGATGAGCTTTAGATGCTCAGAATTTTTTTTCAACGAGAGCAGCTACCGCCAATCATCAGTCGACCAGAATACTGCGCAGCCTGCGAACCCAGATCTCATCGCTGGTCCGAGTGCACGCTGCTCCTCTCACCGATGGGTTTCGGTTCCAGTCAATGTAGGACCACATGGGAATGATCCTTCCCCATCCCGCAGACGCATCCAGTCACGAGATCCCTGGGTCACGGGTCCGGCGAGTTTCGGAACAACCGGAGCTGGAGCAAAATTCCAACAATCGGCCTAGACTCAATCGGCCTACTCACTCGGAATCACCGAAATACCCCAGAGGGCAGGAAAGTGAAGGACTCTGTTCACGTCGGTATAATCGGTGCTTCCGTGAAAAATATATCACGAGGGCTCATATGAGGGATACGGGCGCATCAACTGACTTTATCCTTACCTGAAAGATAACTTGCTCCAGCGGACATTGATCATCCTAGGCTGAAGATCGAGATCGCAGCTCGTGGATGACTGTGGACCGGAACAACATGAGGCATGAACAGCATTTGCCCGCTCCGAGTTCATTCTATGTTTTGAGGATAGTGCGAGGACTTGAACGCGATCCGACCGAGTTCCTGAAACTTAGAGCGGGTGTTTTCCAGATACGACCCGAATCAGATCCGGCCGACTCTCCAGAATCTGTTCCATCGAGGCTTCTTCTCTCACCGCAAGGTTTCCTACATTGAATGAGAGATTCACGACCTCGCTGGGCGGGAATGCATTGTTCATCCATAAGCAGAGGTTGTGATTTGACTGAGCGCGAGCAATTCCATGAGAGTGAATCCTGTCATCCTCTGAGCATGCCTATTTATCTATTTCCGGGAGCAGTGAAAATCTGGAATGTCTGTTCGAGTCGCTTCTTACTCCCGAATGGATGTTCTTCTCAAGGCTGAATAATGTCTATCGTCGAGAGCCGACGTGGCATTGAATTATTCAAGAGGATCGTCAACTGTTTGTTAGTTTTCGCTGTCTGTACAGATGCTGCCGAGCCATTAACGGAGAGCGAAATCACATGACTGGGAGTCCCTTCCGAATTTTTCAATGCAATCAGGGACCCGTCAAAGGGCCGAGTTTCAATACTTTGGCCGGGAAGGATTCAGAAAGAATTCCAAAGCGAACAGAAAGGGATGCTCCGTTGTGATATAGTTTAGATAGATATAGCCGAGCTCCGCTCAGACATGCGATATAGTTTCGCGACTCATCCAGTTCGCGGTTTTTCCATGGTCATCTACATCGGATCACGCCGCGGTCGAAGCACGTTCGAGAGCTGGACGATCGCAAGCTTGCTGGACATGCTCTACCTAGTGTGAGGTCATACCTTCGGAAGTTTCAGGTCAGCGTAGGCTGAAATCTCAGGAGAGAGTCTTCCGGGAAGATAAGATCTGCTGCCAGCTGGCCTCAGCCCCGCTCAGTTTTCCAGCCGCGTTCAGCGCTCATCTTCCAGGTGTTGCCCAGCGGAAGTTCTATGGGGCTGGAATCTGATTAAATTATATCTGATGAATGAAGCATCGGAAAAATCATCGCTGGCAGCATGATCCTCACCGATATGATGGCAACGATTGCCTTTAAAATCGGGAGAAATTACCCGTCGCAGATCTGCGATTACTGAGCGCGAGAAAATTGCTTATGGCTGCTGCCTTCCGCTCCGTGGGTCTCCATAGCTCACGCTGCTCTGCAAAGCCTGGAATTGGCCGTGCGATTGATATGAGGATACTTCAGGGGAAAGTGTCCGAACTGTGGACGACGAGCTCCTCGAGGAATCCCCTGATTTCACAAGATGACTTATGCAAGAACGTCGGGTATCACTAGCGAATATCAGACCGCCAGCCATTCAGACTCCGAAGGCATTAGCTCTCCCTCCGCAAAGCGTCGGGGATCCCAACTCGAGTATTCTTCCTCCGAAGAGCATCCGCCGAAGGACTTGGAAGTGGAGTTAGACTTCACTTCGAGTTTTTGAGGCGAGAAAGTGTCTCGTATGCGACATTCTGGAAATGTGGTCTTCAAATCCGTCACATTTCTCGAGCCTGCCGGGGCGTCGCGTCCTGTCTCTTTAAAACGGAAATCTGACTGAGGCTCTTCGAGGAGTGAGAATTCCGTTCAGAACTCGGATTGAATACCACGTTCCTTACTTTAATAACCATGAATTTATATAGCATTTCAGTCTGGTTCCGTTCAACGGGACCGTCTGACTCTTTCGCTTGACAATCTGTTCAGCATACATCCCGATCGCTGAACATCGGCTCACTCGAGAGCGTGACAATCCAGGCTTTTCTTCTGGATGCCACCACTCGTTCATCGTTTCTCGTGAGGTAGCTCGATCGCTATCGATTTTCACGAGCAATGACCGGGGGGTTTTAACCTATTCACGGAGGGATTACTTCGAGAGGGAAATGTTATGGCTTCGAGTTCGACCCAGATACACATTCTGTAGGTGTGCGTTACCACGCCTTGCAGTCAACCTAACTCAAATACATGGTATGTCGTTGGCATATTTCGTCACACGATGGAAGAGAGCCAGAAGCCGGAGGGCGAATACACGCGTTGAACACTAGGAGGAGCAGAGTAAAATTGAGAGTTTGTTCGCCGTCGAAGGTATTGCACTTTGGCCGGCTCGTTGCGGCCAAGAACCTCTTTAAGTACTTCCAATTTCCGTACGGAATCTACGCCGGTGGAGATCAATCCTCGAGCATATTGGGAACGATGATAGCCGTGAAAATCTTTCAGAAAAGACTGAGTTGTGTTGCCTATGACACGCACAGACGCGATCGATGTGAACACGAAGACGAGCTGGAGCCCACTGCGGTTCAACAGATGATCCTTAACGCGCCGAGATGCATCTCCACAATTTGTTGTGCCCACAGCTGCGGTCTTTCTTGGTAAACGGGTGTTCGACCGAATCGGGAGAGAAAAATAATGATCTTTTCTTTCACTGAAGTCTTATCCCCTCGGTGGGTTTTCGTCGTCACTTCAATTTCGGTCCCAGCTTGAGATTATCTCCGGCATTGTCGTTGATTCTATTGTCATTGTTGCCGTCGTCGAAATTCCCCCGGAAACCGCCTTTCTTCTCCTTCCTGTCGAGTGCGTCTTCGCCCTCATCAGCTCCTCCATCATCGTCTTTCATCGCGTCGACGTTTTCTGGATAGTCTCGATCCTCCTGGCCTTCTTGCGCAGGGGGAGGCTTATCTTGAAGGTGGATGGGCCGCTGATTCCGATCCACGTTGTCGTCGAATTGATGTCCGAGGTAAGAAATTTTCTGCTCATCCTGGATGGCGAGATACGAGAGTTACTCCCCACAGCGAATGATCATATCACCAGAACAAACCTCGAATGCTGTGGCATTGCACGGAATTCGATTCGATCGGGAAGATTATCATTCTTGATCGGACATGATCGCACTCACCTCTTGTGGCTCTGGTCGGGGATTCAGGTCCTGAGACATTATTCCCCCGTATGACCTCCTCGGCGCGGCAGCGACCCCTCTCGCAGGCGATGATGGGGTCCTTGATGGTGCGCGGAGTATTCTCATTTCGTCGTCCTGCAAGAAATGCGTCACTCAGTCTCGGAGGGATTCGGATGAAAGCTCTCGAGAATTTCTCGGAATCGATACGAAGAGCTCACCTTGAATTCTAGCTTGGTATCACTGGGCTCGGCCCTAGGAGTCGTGACTTTGACTTCAGCCACGGTTTCGGGATTCTGTCACCGCCGCGTCAGAGGATTAATACAAATTAATTCACACAGAACGGACCGCCATGCTCATGACATGGAAGAGTTCTCGAACACCGGAGGTTACCTATGGAGCGATCGCTCAAGCATCAACCATGAATACGCATGCTGACTTACGCCGACTATGCTGGTTTCGACGTGCGTTCCCGCCACCCGATTGGAACCATCACCCGTGGTAGCCTGGAACCGAGTCCAGATTCGATCAGATGATGTAAGGACACAGACAGGAACTCGAGGATATATCACTATTCAGGCCGAGCAGCATGAGTGAGTTATTCAAACACCGAGAAGCCACAAATTCAGAAGCAAGCTTCAGAAGCACGCAATCATCGAGACACTGATGACGAGAACCCCAGCCCTCCCTGAGAGTCCTTTTAAGTGGGTAGTTCCTTAGCCTAATAGAATGTGCGGAAACCGTGTTTCGATCTCAATTGCTCGTTATTGAAATTGGCGTTGTCAGCCAAGTAGAATCGACTCTGACTATCGTGTGCACCCCATGCACCCGGCCGAGGAATCTGTTGCTGCTCATCGCGATCCAGAAGATTGTACGAGGGCAGCGGATGACGAATCTGGCTAGATATTTGACGGGGATGGACAACGCTCAGGTTCGGAGGAAGCAAATGTCCTCTGCCCGGGGAGACAGAACTCGAAGATGCATGATATATGCGCCTCGATGGGAGCGGGGGAGAACGGAGGACCTGCTACAGGAGTTATTGCAAAGTTCGAATGAAAGCTCCACATCTCAAACGGATAGTCTACCTAGTCGGGGGTCTCTCGGGACTCTTAAAGATGAAAGAACGTAGATGAGGAACTTGCCTTTGAGGCGGCCGCGTCAAGCACTCCGGCGGCATCGCACGCCTTGACTCGTTCTCGCAGTCTCACGACCTCGCTCATATCTACCGGGGCGATTTGCTCCATTTTTCGGATTTCTTCCTCCAGCTTCTGATTTGAATCCTTCAGTTTCTGGTTCTGTAGGTTCAGATCTTCAACTTCGACATCCAACTTCTCCTTCTCAGAACGTAAGGACACGTATGTCGCTCTCAATTTCTCGAATTCACTCTTTTGTTGTTCCTGAAATTTCCCAGGGGATGTGTGCCTGAGATATTGTTCTGCGTTGTGACTGTCCGCGGGTTTCCCCGATGCCTGGACCTCAGAGGCCGGAAGGGAGCAGTCCGGTTCTGATACGCTCCCGGTTCGCCCCTACGCAAATGGAGAATTCGATCGAAAGCGAATGAACTCGGCTTGACGGATGATTACCTTCAGCTCTTCATATTGTCGCAGAAGCTTCGCCACTTTCTCTTTTTGAGTAGTCAAGTCCTTCGATAATGCAACTTGAATAGTTTTGAGCTCCTCGTCGACGGCTTTCTTTCTCTCGATCTCGGCTTGGAGGTTCTTCTCCAATCGAGTTTTGTGCTCATAGAGTACCTGGAAGTGATCGGATCGACTCAATCGCCTTGCCACACCTCTAACTTTCGAAGAGAATTTCGTACGAATTTGAAATCAGCGGCAACGTTCGCCGAACTCCCTGGACTGTTTTCCTGGAAGCCGGTAATCCGTTCATACTCACCACTGATTGAGCCGAAAGTGAGTCTTTTTTCTGTTGACATCCATTGAGGTCCATCTCAGACCTCTCCAAAGCGGACTGAGTTTCGAAAAGTAGAACTAGAATCATCAAAAGAGTGATCACCACGAATGCGATGGCTAGCACCCGGTGTTTAGGCGTCCGGAACGCCATCGTGGTTAAGGTCATCCTGGAAAAGAGAATTTTGGCTCACTACGTTGCTTCATTAGACGTGAACTCCGTAGCCCTCGGAATGATCAGGTACAGCGAAGTCGAATCATGAATGACCGAATCCTTTCATGGACGCGCCTGACGTAATGCTCGTAGAAGTAGGTAGAAGCTCTTCTCCAACATCCAGGAGCCAACAATGATCTCAACCTGAGAGATAGTCTTACAGCGCGATGTCAGTAATATGACACAAGAGCCCCCGGACTCCTCCCGTCTCCTGACCATAAATCAATTATATTTCCAGGTTTTCTCCTGGTTCCTGCCGCTGCGGAGATATACCTTCCAGCCCGACGATTTGCGTCGGCAACATGCAGGTGTCATCAATCAAGTGACCATGATACGGGAAGTATATATTCAGTGATCCGCCTAGTGTCAGAGGACGCGGTCGTCCGAGAGGGCCTCTCAGACCGAGCACGACAGCGTTTCCTTTTCACCTTCCCTTCTACGCGGGAGGGATCGCCCTTTCAGATCCAGCCTGTTCCGTGAGTTTCCTCGGGGACATTCATGCGATGGTGGCAAACCATAATACCGGCCCCTCACGGATACAAGAATGAACTTATTGGAAGTCTCCCATGCGACACTGCCAATGCGATCGGTGAAAGGGGAGAAGGTCTCCGCCCGGTGATAAATCAGCGGATTTCAGCCAGGCGCAGGGGACCGATGAAGACGATATCGCAGCCTATTTTCATGAATGCTCGAGCTACTACGCCAAGCAGGCGAAACGGCGACCGACGGCGATTCCGATTGAAGCATTATCCGACTCATCAAGAGGCCCGTTGTTGATCGAGGATTGAGAGAAAGCCAACCCGCCAATGCGATCCGAAAATAGTTTACCTAGGTCGAGCTTATCATTTCCGAATCAGACCAGAATAATGCGGAACGGGGTTCCGTGACTCGAGAAATCGTGTATCCGGTGAGCTGGGCTTTGAGTGGACTCCACAAGGAAGGTGACAAGTGCCGCTCTGAATGCTCGTTCTTATTACGGTTGCCGCCTCGAGCTTGTCTCGTATTTTGTTGCCACTGCATGTCAAACGAAACATGCGGTATCCATTCAGAAACGATGAATGGCATGACGTCTGAGAGTCCGAAGCCGAGAGAGACCCTGTCGTGACTGAGAGCCTCTATGCCTCAACATTCGAAAGCAATCTCGTAATTCAGGCATTGAACACGATGATTCGAGAGAAGTCGGATTTATCGCTCCCCGGCTATTCCCACAGCTGTCCCGTCGTTAGCTCCAGATGTTCCCACTCCGAAATCCCCGATCGTGAGATGGAAGAACAGCGAGAAGTCTGGCAAACCTGTCAATCTGAAGCTTCCTAGCCGGTTCCTCCGGACCGGGACGCTTTTTCGTGCGAAAGAACGGGAAGATTGGAAGAAAGAGAAGTAGGGAGCCTCCGACTCGAAAGTCTGCTCCTGAGTTGTGCAAATAGAGATGTTCCCTTAGCGATCTGGACTCAACTGCGGTAGTGCGTTCTTCTTCGATTTCTTTCTTCCGCGAATCCGAATTCAGAGAATCATGGCATGCCATTGAAAGAGAAATTTCTCTCGAGAATCACTCACCTCCAGACCTTGGACTAGTGGTGCATGTCACAAAAGAATAGGTTCGGAACGCCCGACTCTGGATCAGAAGATGTGTTTCGGAATTTCTCACAGCCGCCACTATAGAGCTGGAGATAGCTCTGAGAGAGGGAGAAAATGTCGACGAATCGCCAGTTCTCGACACATCGCGGATGAGAGAGCCGTGTCTGGGCTCAGAGGCAAGAGGCGGAGCTCACTCAGAATAGAAGGAGCCGCATATAGCGATTACGACGGCACGGTTTCTACGATTCCCTGCTGCATATAGGATGACGGCTGTCCTTGAACTCTGCGTTGCCGAAGCCTAGGTATCGAGATCATTATTCGTGGACTACAGCTGACTTTTTGAATCGAATGAGTCCGGGAGATATATTTCCCCCGTGCGATCACGAAAGAGAAAAAAGAATATTGAACCTCTAGCGGAAGACCCTATTTTCTGTGGATCATGGGTCATGGGGGCCTTGCATGAAGCTCGGCATGACAATGGAGAAGAGCGACGATAAGGGGCATGCCCTCCATATTTCTCGTTCCTTGACGCAGGGCCAGATGGCAGCTCCGGAGCGATCCTTGCACGATTCCCGACTCGATTCGTCGGAGACTTCATCCAATAGCAGAAGTCCTCCATCTCCTCTCGCAGTCCATCGATCCCGCCGAATGTTGCCGAACCTCTCTAGTCGAGCACAGGTGCCTACATTTGAATTCCGTGAGGTTCGGCCGTCGCGAGATAGTCGTCCGCAGCGACGTGCTCGGAATATCCGAGAAGATTCTACCCACAGCGCGCGTAGTGAATGCCTGAGTTATCAGTATGCTTCTCTTGGCGGGCGACGGCGCTTAGGCAGAGAAGGTGGAAAATTCCTCCGGATGGAACCTGGTAGAATGGAAGAGACATCTCGAGCTCTATGGCGGGGTGCGAAGAGGGATTCAGACACCCGAGGAGGTTTGCGGGTCCGACCATCGAGTCGCTGGCGACAGTCGTCAACTGTCTGGGGAATCGAGAAGCCAGGCAAGGGCTTGCGAGCTTATCGATCAACGAAGTGAAATTACTGCCACTTAAGATCCCGCAATGCGGATGGCTTCATCACATGCTGCGAAAGAGTGATGGGGAATGGAGCCCTTGGACCTGAAGGATGGCGCGGGCTGGTCGGGACCCGGCTCTCCGCAAACATCTCCGACAGAGTTAAGTGCAGCGGATCGATACTGAATTGAATACTCGTAGTCTAAGTATATATTAGAAAAGCAGAGATCATGTTATCGAAATCTAATTCGGGCGCCGCTCCATTGGAGTGGACTGATACTCGCGATCGGACTTCCATTTGGAAGCGCGTCTTATGGCTCCGTTCCGTCGCATATTTGCCTCCCTATTCGCCCGAAGAAAAATGGACGCAGCAGCGATGGGGGCGCTCTCAGACTCCATCCTGGAAGACAATCGTCCCCCTAGCGCACGCAATCCGAAGGACCCCCCAGCCTGCAGGTATGAGTAGGCAACGGTTCACGTTACGCTAACCCGCGAAACGGTGAACTCGAGCGCGATTCGGCGTGAGGAGAGGAGGAGTTCCCGTTCCCCTCTATTCCGGTAAAGTACAACGTGACTGTCGGCTGACGTTGAGGTCTACCATATTGCACTTCATCTGGTTGTAGACGAAAAGTGATTATGACATAGAGACGAGAGAAAAAAAAAGTGCTGAGGATCCATGTCTTCATTTACCACAGTCATCCAAATTTTCTGATGTAGTAGGCGGATGATCCGAGACTCTCGAACTTCGCGAATGCACGTAAGTGTAGACAAAATTTCCCCTGGCTTGGAATGGAACACTTGTGGGGGAGGCATTTGTTACTTGGGACTCCATCTGAGACCCTTGTTCGGAGCCATCGGCCGAAGTCCGAGTATTTCAGATCCAGAATGTGCCGTAGTTCTCTCCGTCGGAATAATAGTTCAGGAGTTCCACGGAGCAGAGTCCCAATCTTCAACATTGGAATCGCCCGTCGGGTGGCTCAGCGTAATCGCTTTTTTCTAGCCAAGTCCCGCTTAAGGCGTCAATATCAGTCAACTCCCTCCGACGTCTCAAGGCGGAAGGACCTGAACTCGAATCATAATGGATGAAGACGGACTTCCTCTTTCGGGCGTTGATCTGAACAAGGTGACCATGCCGTCTCATCATTCCGATTCGGGATGTCATTTTGTTCGCGGGGGAGGCGAGATCTCTTGAATATTCGCTCCGAATCCATTAAACAATTCCCCGGTCGAGTGAATTATCAAGGGCCTTTCCAGGTGCCTCCGATACCTCAAAAACACACCGTGACATTCTTGAATCACTATCTTTCGCGATCGTCACAACTCCTCAATGGTTTGTCAGGGGCCGCTGAACGGAAGCTTGAGAAAGTGCTGACGCAGCTGCAGCAGATCGAAGCCGGAGTCTGCATACTCGAAGCAAAGGTTTGCCCTCCAACACTCTCGAGTTGAATCACGCCCGAAGATCCTCGCCCTCGATATGACGCAGATCGAAAGGATCAGAAGTAGCTAATTGACGAAATTGCAGTTGGATTCGATACCGGGTATGACCGATGGCATAACTCCCGAACCAGACCCCGAGCCCGTCAAACAGCCTCCACCGGTGGTCACGACGCAACCGACGAAATCGACATCGGATCAAGAACCGACTCCTTCCTCGCCTGCCCCTTCCCAGGCTCCGGCGGCTGTAGAGAGCGCACCGCTCGAAGAGCCGGGAGGTGCGGAATCGCAAGCGATCCAGCCGATTTGTAAGGATCCTCGATTCCGGATGTACTTCGACATGCTCAAGAAGGCTAGTATATTACCAATTTTTCACCGTGATAGAGTCAGGCATGACTCCTTGAATGTAAACGTCTAGTACTCTCTCGAGGACATTCGATGAAAGAATCATTTCGCTACAGGGTGTGCCCTTACCTGGCGTTCAACAGAAGATGATGTTATCGGGAGTGGATCCAGAACTCATCCTCAACCCGAATGCACCAGCGCCTCCTCCGGACCCTGACGACGAAGAATGAGAGAGACGCTCGAGACTTTGAGTCGGGATGCAAGGTTCCGTGCTCTTCTGTTCTGTTTCGTCCCAGACGTATATCATTATGAGCGGGAATCATAGTAATTCATTCCGCGACTGTTTATATAAAACCGTTACCCATGGCTGTACAATTGATGGTGAATATGAAGATCGCTCCCAGATCAGGAACTTTTCCCACGAGAAACTCATTCATTCCGCGTGCAGCGTCCCTTTATGTCGGTCTCCCGCTGTATCTGGGCTGAGTGAGCTCTTATCAAGAAATGAACGATTCTTTTCGAGCAACAACATATATTTATGTTCGGTCGGAGAGAGATCCCAGACGACCATCCTCCGAGGATCTTTTCTGCAATCCCAGACCGTTTCATAGCGATCCTTGTTCTTCATTCATAATTGTTCCGGCGGCGTTCAACACAACAGTCCGCTCGGTAGATCCCCTTAACTTATTGCCATCGTGAGGGTACCCGTTTCCGGGTTCACGTCGTCCTCGGACTCGGTCTCTTGAGTCCGAGAGCGACTTGATCCGGAGACAAATCGGGGTCCCGCAGCGTGAGCAGGTCGATTGAGTGGATTGCGGTGAAATTATATGCCGAGAGCTGCTTCAAAGGTGTGCGTCTCAATTTCAGTGTAATTGTCGCGAAAACTCGATCGGCGTAGCAATGATTTCTTGAGCTAGCTACCCCAGTCCCTCGAGACGAAGTTACCGAATGCAGGCGGAAATCAATCAAATAGGTCGGAGGTGCTCTGGAGTCTGTGCTCCGTAGATGTCCGCTCGGATAGACTGACAAGTTGATCACGAGATTCCTTATTCCGCACTGGGGGTTGACACTCGATCCTTGCCCGGGAGCTGTTCCTTTAGCTCTCGCTGATTTCGAGTTTTCAGTAGCGGAAACTTCTCTTTGGACTCCCGACAATGATTAATTCTAGCGTCGGGTAGCCTAGTCTAGTCCGACCAACGATGCAGTAATTATCCTCATCTAGTGCTGAGGGAGGCTTTCGGTGCGATCTTCCTCGTCATTTGCGGGGACTTCTTCGATTCTCCGCCGTTTGGCGCGGTTGTCCGCCAGAACCTGTTCTATTGTTCTCGCATCTTTCTTATTTTCGGAAGGAACTGAAATTTCCAGGGCTCCCAGTTAGACGGTAGAATCAGACCATGTGAGTGAAGTTTTGAAAGATTGATGGATCCATGGATCCATTCAAGGGAATTCCCTGATTAAGCCTGGAGAAAAATTGTCGTTTCGAAACTCACCGAAACCGAACTGCTTGTTCGGCTGTGCGATTCTCGCGGCTTCGAGACCAGCTTCTTTCCCCAGGTACTTCTCGTATTTCGCTTTGTATTTATCGCTAGCGCAGTCTGATGAGCCCGCATCGCCTTTCGATTTGCGGAGCTTCTGCAACCACTCAGCCTGCTCCCGATCTTTCTCCATCTGCTCGCGCAGAGCCTTCTGCTCTTCCGCTTTCAACGGATTCCACACCTCGCCTCTCCTCAGACACGCGAGATGATCTTCGCATGGCGCATGTTCGGGTTTGAAGATAACGACGTGTCGATCGATGTCTTCCTCTCCGAAGGAATAGGCCGGCAGTCGTTTAGTTTCTGCGACGTCGTGTCTGAGAATGTTCCGGTCGGATCTATGTTAATGAAGTGGTCAGGGGACACGGAATATTCTGATACTCGAGACGCTGACGTCAGATGAACTCACATGATGGCACGATAAATTTTGGGAACGGGTTTGAAATTGAAACTGGGGTTCTTGGCGTCTTTCAGGAACTGTTCCATGACCTGTGCGGTTTTTTCTTTGAAGTGTTTCAGTTTGTTGCGGTGATCCTCATCAGCTTTTTTAGCGGCTTCTCGTTGCTCTGAAAGCGGGCGAAAAATGTTTCTCTAAATAGAACCTTATCGCGCCAAGTTCGGTCTCACGAATCGAACTCCGAAGATTTAAATAGGAAATTACGAGCACGATCGTCGTGGAGGAATTTCGTAATGGGAGTCTCCCGGAGCGCTTTTAACGTGTCCAAACTCCGAGTACTTCCGAACACAGCCCAGGCTCCCCCTCCGATGGAACTCCGTGGAGGCGGATTCGCTCTTCGGCGAAAGACATCCGAATTCGCAAGGAGGAGTCACCGGGACGATATGACCTTCTCTAAGAATCTTACTTTTAATGAGATCGCGTTGTTTCTCGTCGGTGGGAACTTGCTTCGGTTGTGCCTTCTCCATCGAAGTCATGATAGACCCCAGTAAGTCAGCCATGGCTTCTTTGTTTATGGAAACTCAGAGGCTTCCCACTCGCTTACGGAAGTCGCAACTGGAACCAGAACTCCGAGCACGATGTACAATAAACGTATATCAGATGGGTCTGTATATGAGGAGAGGCTGCTTCGTGCTGTTTCGGAGAGAGGGTATTCTGTTGTAGCGCTGCTGCCACTGCGCTGCCCTGCTCGCTGCTGCACCAAAATAAACCACTCGATGGCTCGATGGACATCAGCTGGCTGCAAGAAAGCCTCCACTTTCATAAGTGGAGAGAGAATCCGATGTGGAGACCTAGAGATGAAATCCTGTTCGTCTCGAAGTGGTACGCAGTCCGCCGCGGGGCTGGGCTTGGCTCGATTAGAAGCCATATGAGCATCGGAAGAGGGGAACAAAAAGAAGGACGTATATGTGCAGCGTGGAGTAGGTCGGCATCGAGTTAGAGTCAGACAGCCCGCGAGTCTCCGCGAGTCGACTCGGGCCGCTCCGTTGCCTGGATGCATCCCCTTGAAAGGCTTCGGAGTGCTCGACGTATCTTCGAGTGAATACGACGACTGCTCAGAATTCCTTCCCAGCCAAAGTTCGGTCCGCATAGAATTCTGCTGCTCGGGATTTTTTCTCCGGTTTTAAAGCGGGAACGGCGAGGATTTAAATGGGAGTTTCCTCGATATGGCTTCTTCATATGATCCGTGCAGGGAATTCAGCGAGCGCTTGCCGCCTTTCCCGTTCTCGAGCGCGTTCCCGGTGAGGAGTCCGACATCTAGCCTGCCAATTGCCAATACGAATACCGGGGTCGAGGATCAGAAGTACCCCTGGAGAAGTCGTTCCAGGACTAGAGCGAAGGACTCCACGAAAAGAAGGAAACGGTTTCTTTCGGGTTTCACCGACCTCCATCCGTGAGCCCGGGAGAGGAGCTCTTGCCTCTCCTGACGGGAGCTGCTCAACCGCCGTAGGTTCTAGGCGAGAACCAAGAAGACTCGGATGGATCGTTATCTAGCAAGGGACCTTCACAGTTTCCCGGGTTCCGATCCGAGTCTGAGCGACACCGCAAAATGCAGCCCTCCAGCATACGTTGACTCCAGATAGAATATCCCGTTGCCGCGAATTTTCTTGGGTGCTGTGAGGCGATTTGGTGGTCGCTGTGAGGTGCGTTCTAGCCAAGAATTATTCGAAAGCTCGTCAGTTCTTCAAACCCTCGCTTGTTCTTCTTCGGAAAGTCCCTACGAGGAAGCTGTGACGGCCTCAGGGGAACTGGAGAAGGCCTCGTGAGCCTCTCCTGACCTGAATGGAATAAAATCCGAGCGGATTCTTTCGGAAGAGGTCAGGGAATGTCAAGAGACAGTACAGCCTCGGCGACCCTCGGTGGTGAGAGTGCCAGCTCCGAACGTGACACGGATGAATTCACCGCATTTTGACTCACAACACCACAAGGTCCTCCAGTGCGGAAGGAGCCCGGGGTATCCGATTCAAATTTACGAGAACTCCGGGTACCTCCTTCACTTGGCTGTCGAATGCACCGAATTTCCACGTTACCATTGCCCATGGAAAACGTGTGTGCTACGATGCTTAAGCTCCGAGAGCCTTCGATGCTTGACGTTCCCGAGCAGAGATCACAAACATCAGCGCCCAGTGAACGATCGTCTGCAAGTGCTCATGAACGAAGTTCACTGTGGAATACTTCACTAGGTCGCGTTCCTTCTTTTCGGGAACGAATGCTCAAGGTGCAGCGTTCCCCCGTCCCAGGTGAGCCCTTTGTTCCATGTCACAGGAATGTCTTTGCCAGGTTCTGCAGTTGCCGAGAGCTCTCGAGCGTAGCTCGGAGCATCGACCTAGATGGACCTGTTGCTCCAAACTTCTCTCCCGAGAGGCAGGTTCCTCCACCCGAATTCTTTTCTCGCCGGCGGGAGGAAGCATTCGATGCGCCAGAGAGCAGAACTTCGGGAAAGCTTCCCACCCGTCAATCTCCTATAGATGTAGAGGATCCGATCTTGAATAGGACAATGAGAATGAATCTTCTCCAATGGAGATCAGCCGGTTCGGAGCGAACGTCGCTCGTCTTCTGACTTATGCTCTCGGATCGATCATGGCGCGGAAACGGAAGCGAGTCATTCCGAGCAATGCTCAGCGTCTTCATGCTCCGTCCATGCTCCCTCTGGACCTGACGTTGGCCTCGTATGATTTCGACCGTGAAGATAAACCAGTTCCTTAAGTGTGTCAGTGACGGTGGCAAACTCTCGGACCGTAATTTGATTTGTTCGTTTTCTCGTCCATTTCAGATGCACGAATTGTTTCTGACAGTGTTGAGTCGGCAGGAGTTGTCGCGAGCGGGCGAATTATTCTCCCTGGAAGATGAGGAGGTGCTACCGTGTGCGTCTGAAGTGCTGCTCAAGATACGCGACTCGGTCATTCGACCAACATACGCCGCAGACGACAATGCCCAAAGTGTCGTCGAAATCTGCCTTGCGAGGGTCATTGCGGCCATCAGGTATACTTATCGAACCTATCGCATACGGCAAGAATGCCGAAAACTCAATTCGTGGCATGCATGGAGATGCCGAGTTCGCAGCTAATGATTGCAGCTCCTGCGAAACTGACGTGAGCGCTTTTATTCGCGACCAGGGACTCGGGGGAGATGGAAAAATTCTCGGCCCAGCTGGTAGCTCTGCTGGAAGGCTGTCTGCAACATGACCTCAAACCATCCCGCAAAGATGAACACCCGCCGCATGCCAAGGTCGCCGCTGACGTGATGAGCTGTATATTTTTGGTAGGTTCAGGCCGAGACGAGGATAAACTCCGGAGATCCGGAATAGGGGGATGCAGAAACCTCGTTCCGAGATGGAGAGGATGCCTTGCTTGAAAAAAGTCCCAAGTCGAACTCCATTGAGCTAATTAGGCGCTCCTCTGCATCCACAGAAACACAACTCTCCTGGACTGATGAAACGTAGTCTAGGAGTGACAGTTAGGTTTTTGCACCGCGGCAATCGAGACCTTTCGTTATCGGTTACTCGGTATCTCTGCCTCGCAGCAACACATCACGCGGATCTTCTGGTTCCGCACATCCAGCCCATAGTAGAAAGCATAATCAATGGTGAGGGACTCGTTCGTGCTATAATTTCCAAACAATTTCGAGCCAATTGTTGCAGAGTCCGATCACATCGCTCGGTCCCGGGTTGACTTCCGTAAACGATCAGACAGGGCCGGTTATGAAAACTCCGGATGATGGTGAGATCAGATTTTTGATGAGCAACATTGATCGGTTCGCAGGTAATTATGCATTATGCAAAGTTTTGCCATCGATCTACCAACTGAGGCAGTACGAGTACGCTATCAACGACCATCTTTCCGCTCTGCTCTCGATTCTCCCGCTATGTGATCACAATGATCGCCTCTCACTCCTCGGACTCTTCGAGCTGATGGCTAAAAGTGACGCAAGCGTGAGTATGATTCGTGTCGACCACAGAGTTTTTTTCGGTATTGACGCTACGTATTCTCTCGTAGTCCACGTAAACTGATCGATTCCCATTTCCTGACCCTTGACTCGACGCTGACTCAGTATTCGGTATTTTTCGAACAGTTGTTGGACGGCAATTTGGCACAATTGACTCAGTATTTGAGCGATGAGAGCACAGCTCCGACAGTCCTTAGGATCTTCGTCGAAGTCTCGAATTCCGAACCCCAACTCGTCGTGGACATACTGCCCAAGGTAAAGAGGATCCTGGCCCTCCTAGAATTCATGCTGATGAGCTCTTCGCCTCGTCAGCATAAGGGTAAAGTGATTTTCAGGAATAAAATTGATTTCGGAGAGGTCTCACGGGGAAACGATGCTAATTCCAGGTCCAACAAGCCGCTCAGAACAACAGGAAATTATTGGCGCTTTTCGCGAGGCTTTACGCAAACGTTGCCAACACGAATCGGGTGAGGATCCTGGGCCCTCCCAATAGCCGAGGCCATTCGGAAATCGCGGGAGCTCGGGGAGACGAGTCGCCTCGCTCACGCATATACTTCGTTTGCAGGACATGGCCCGAATCAGTCTCGACATGCTCGCTCTCCAGCTGACGGATACGGCTCTCGCGTCCCAACAAGTCTGCATTCTGAAAGAAATCAAAGCCGTTCTCGACAACACTAACATCTCGCTCTCGTCGCTGGCCTTGGAGAAAATCAATCAAGTTCACTGTGATCCGACATCGCCCTCGATGTTGCAATTCTACCTGCAGCAGATCAGACGACAGCAAGGCTCGCTCCGAGACCTCCATCATCACCACACTCTACCGTCGAACGTCATGCTGTCCTCAGCTTCGGGCGCGTCCACAGCCGGAGGTTCTCAGATATTCTCGTCGAGACCTTTTTTGGGATCGAGCCACACCTTACTGAACGGCTCGCTCCCGCATGTGCACGGCGGGTCCAGGAACGGGAGCCAACAGATCCACCGCTCGTTGGGAGCGCTCGGGAGCCGAGCGGTTCTGTATCTGGCGAAGAACAGAGCGCCGCCCTCGGCGAAGAGCATGTCGATCCCGGTGCTCATGGAGGAGCCCATTCAGAACTCACCGCAAGGCTCGGACGAAATGACCGCCTCGAGCTCGACTCGCAAGAAGACTCTGAGCAGAGAGAAACTGCGTCATGCGAGCAAGAACAGCAGCACCGGAAGCGCCAACGTGACGAGTACAACGACAAGCAGCAGTTCGAGCAGTACGAAAGACACGAAGGATTCTAAAGAGCACGAGCAGGTCGGCTCGTCCTTGATGCCGTTCGAGCCGATGAGAGATACAGTTCAACATTTTTGTGAGAAGCACCTCGATAAAATCAAAGCGTACATGGAAACGGTTTTAGTCAAACTACCGCTACCTCTGAAATGCACAATCGAAGAACGCGGGAACAAGAAATACGCCAAGTTGCACTTCGGCTGCCAAGGTTCGTTGCTCCGAGATTTCGATTCCGGCGATGCCGAAGACTGTACGTGATGATCGGTGACTCGGGAGCTTCCCGTTGACAGCCCAATGTTGTTCTTCAGGTAAAGGCGAAAATTGTCTCTACAATAAAACACTTTTCGTGAGTAAAACGAAGAACGCACATTTGTGGATCCACGTGATGTTCTTGGCGATTCAAGCGAGGGCGCCAGCCGCATTGAGCACGAGAGAGCCATCTCTGAGCGCTCTGAAAAACTGCTGGGATTCCCTGAAGCAAGACAACCGGAGTTTTTTGACTCTGGTCACGTCTGCTTTCCCCTCTGCAAAGGTGAGCTCCTCCAGGAACGCTGCCGCGGGAAATAATGGTTCCCATGACTGGCAGGGGACTGCTGCGTTGTTATATCATATGTCGGAGCTTCGCCATGATCGGGTGGAGCAACGCGAATTCTCCTGTAGCTCTATTAAAGGGACCTCTTCTCGATTCAGGATATGGAGAACTTGATGTCTGAGCTCCGTGGTCGCCGCTTCCTCGATGTTTTTGAATACAACGGAACACGTCAGATGTGGGCTTGTTTCCTTTGCAATCATCCAGATAGGGCCCATGGCTTCCTTCAGGTGAGGCCACTGACGGCACGGAATCATGGATCCTTCGAAAAGATTCCGCCTCAAAAAAAAAAACCGATCGAGAACCATTTTGTGTACCGCCGAACCGAATCGGCACCGACCACGACGGAGAATTTGAGAACTACCATCATTTCATTACAGGAGAGCTTGCCCGTGATACAAGGCCAGCTGAAGGAGAAGCGTAAAAGGTGGAAACTATTCCGTCAGTGGCGCACAAAATATTTTACACTGTCGGGGGCGAACCTTTCATGCCGCGAGCTAGTAAGTACCTCTTTCAAGAAACCCATTCCGTTCACCCCTGTTCGGATTTATTCCAAAAAAACCCGCAGGGAATCGCGGAACGATTTTCTCCTCCCGTCCCTCTGCTGTTGTCTATCTTTCCGGGAGGAACGAATTCCCGCCCCTGACTCCGAGCCTTTCACCAGGGAATGGCTTGGGAGAAGGTTCCGTGAGGGTATTGAAACTGTAGTTATGGGAAATAATTCGGTGGCACTAACGCTGAGGACAGTCTCCTTCGCAGACGTCGGATAGTAAGGACACCCCGATCGGAGAGGTCCAGTCGGTCCGAGCCATTCAGGGGAGGAATCGGCACATTCCCAAGGCCTTCGAGATTTTCACGGCCGACGACAAGGCTTTCGTCCTCAAAGCGAAGAGCAGCAAACATACGGAGGAGTGGGTTCAGTGCCTCAGTATCGCCCTCGCACGCACTCATGCAACGCAACCGAATGCTGCCGGCGCGAAGCAGGGCCTGCATTCCTCTACGAGTAAAAGTATAACGCAGATTACGCAACGCCTTTAGCAGGGGACCAAATCCCGAACAAACTAAGTGCCATGATCGGGTGCCGGTGCCAATGACTCATGCGATCGGGAATCTCATACAAACACTGGACCACGTAGAGAAGAATCAGTATTCGATTCTGTGTGAAGATAGATCGGAAAGGCCCTTCTCCGAGCTTTGTCGGAGATCATTGTGGAATAACTTATTTGTACATAAGAAACATGTTAGGCAACTTTAATGTTGGTTACGGGGATAGAATCTCTCTGGGGGCCCCTGGAGAGCCCGACGGAGAATCGAAGTACAAAGACAAGTGCTCCAAGGTGTTCGAAATCATCCCGAGGCGATGCCGGATATACCGATCTTGTACGTGGGCATGACGACGTTCCGCCTGCTTGCGAGCACGGCCGACGATTCCCTCCATGGGATCAGGTGTCGGCCGATTTATTTGTGAAAGGGGTCGGTCCTGTCCGTCTCTATTGCTGTGTCTCGATGTATCTCAATATATAAGATCTGTCAAATGACGTGAAATAAACCGATCGAGCCTTTGGGAAGGCAGAATAGTTGTATCGCGCCGACATCGAACGATTCGAACTTTCAAACAAGGAATAAAATTCGTTCTCTCTCGTCTTTGCGGGAGACGCCGCTGAAATTTTCGTGTCATTCCTCCGAGCCGGGAAGGGTAACGGCCGCGGGGATCTGGAGCCAGAATTCGACCGGCCGTTGCCCAGCGACACACAAGCTTCTCCTCGAGAGATTTCTTGAATCTCTATGCAGCTTTGAGGTTACGCGGAAGCTACAAGGGTGAGTTCCTTAGCTTCCCACAGGTAAACGGCATCCACGATTCGCGAAAAAATTGTCGACAAAGGGTATGTGACACGCATCCTGGAAATGCTCCCTGATGAGTTGAGTTCCTAAATTTCGGACATTTCATATCTATACAATCCGCAAGAGCGAAGACCGACGATCACATCGACAAGGGAATCGCCTCTGATGGGTTTTCCCTGTCGCCGGACGATGTGGGGAAGACAAGAATAAGAATGCCGCAATCGAATCTATCCTTATTCGAGAGTCGGAAAATGGAAATGTCCGGAATCTAGCAACTCTACTGATGAGGTGAAGATAGTCCTTCTGCCAGAATCAGCCCGCGGAACCTCGAGCCTGCCCGGAGAGCGGCGCAAGACTGCGCTTATTGGAAGTAGCACCGCTCCGTCGACTCGGTCTTCCGTCGCGGACAGCCTCGTCCATCCGGTCTCTATAGTCCAGAAACAAATTACATAGATTGTCCAGAAAGTTATATATCGAAATCCCAGCATTCCGACGAAATGCCAGCTATCGGTTGAAGGAGCTTTACCGAATGTGTTGATTTTCCCTCGATTTGAGACAGATTTTCTCATTCGGCTCGCTAGCCCGCTGAAATTGAATCCGCTAAGAGTATCTGAAATCGCTGCTCAAATGTGAGCCTTAGGAGTCATTGCGATCTCACGAGAGTTTTCTGCATGCGCCTCATGCACTTATCCAGCGGAAGGGTCCGCATTGATTTCCTGAGAGCATTAACACTGAGAGCTCGGCCTGTATCATTTTGTTGGCACAAGTTAATGATTACCGTAATGCATGTGGGCGTGAGGAAACCCACACCAGCGGAGCCATTTGCGAACGGCAGACACAAGTTTTTCTCGTATTTCCCTCTGTACTTTCTGATCTCCATGAATACTCGCTCGCTTTCATTGAGAATTTGCTTGAAACTCGAGCTCTTGTTTACTCTCGGAGATTTGGGTCAGAGATTAACCTCGTTTCTGTCACGGACACCAAGGCGCAACTTCACGTCTCGGCGCGTCGAACATTGTTTAGAAACCTTCCGCGTGAACTTCCGGAATACCGGTCGGAATCCACGGAAAACCTCGCAATCGCTCTCCGAAATGTTCTCTGAGGATCTCGCTCAATATTCGGAAACGATTCGTGATGCTAAAAATGCGGCGCTTTCCGGAGCTGCTCCCGAGCGAGAACAAAATTGAGAAGAATGAGGGCCGAAGAATCCACAGAAGATTGATTCCACCGGATTGAGCCAAGAACACAACAGAATATTCAGCAACAGAACTTCGACTCGTCGGAGGAAGCCCACAAGTGACATTGAAACATCGGTGGATGTTTCCGTCTGAACTCACTCGGGAAAAAGAAAGCGACTCGCAGAGAAACCTCGCGCGCTCATCGCGCGGAAACGTTGCAGCTGACTGAGACTCGAACCTTGTCCGAGGAAGGTGGCGAAGGACTTCAGAATCGGCTGAAGATCGCTCGACAGAACCATCCGGAGCTTCGTCTTCGGTGAAAATCTTCCTGATCCGATTGATCCGACAGGATCCAGGAAGGAAGCGAGCCCCGTGGGGTCGTCATCCGAGAGTTTTCTGCTGTGTGGTGTGGAATGTTATGGAACGCTTGGACGACACTTTCTCTCGGCGCGTCTATCCGCCTCCGTAGCTGCGTCCCACAAGTCCCAGTGGGAAGGTCCGCGTACTTGATGGCTTTCTCTTCAAGAACTTCGTTCAGTAGCTGCTGAGAATCGTCACGATGAGGTCCTTAGCTATACTCACGGTTAGTGCATTTTTGATTGGTGTTGTTTCGTGCTTGCGATCGGTCGTCATTCCGGAAAAAACTCCTATATGACCTCCAGTGCTGCAAGGAATCGTTTCGCATCGGTGTCTCTGTCGCATCCGTCCGACGTTCGAGTGGCCTCCGAACATGTACGAGCGCGTCTCTCCGTCGAGCCCAATGACGGGGGTTCCTAAGCTCCGGCCGAGGGGAGATTCAGGCTGCAGACTGAGCTCATCATTCAATTATGGGGGATCGATGAAAAAATCTAATTTACGGATCGAGGACGTCTCTTGGTGCGCGAGTAGCGTTCCTCCCCTGGATTCGGAAGGGGAAGGGCCCAGCGACGCACAAAGATACCGCGCTTGTTTAGAAGAGCTAGGTACTCTGGTAAAACCCATGATGACTCTGAAACCTCCCGGAAATGTCCGTTCCTCGGAATAGGCTCTCCAAGTTCAAGTTTTAAGTCGGTTCGCGGAATCCCCGATACGACTGGGATGGGAGCGTAATTTGCTTCGAATTTAAGGAGGTCCTCGACATTCCAGACCTGTTTGGCAAGTGCCCTGGGCCAACACGTGCATTCTGCGAGTCATGATCATAGGGAGTCGCTTCTTCTGTCCAACGAATACTACCGTCAACCCTATCGGCAACCTCTGGATCAAAGGCACAACGAGAGAGATCATCACGAAAAGGACATATTGAGGTAATGAGACGAGTAGGTAGGTATTCGCGAGCCTTCGATATACATCCCAGTCGCTCGCAGTCAATCCGAGCTAACGAGTGGAATGAGTTTGAGGCGGACCCCTTCTGTATATTTCCGGAAGGAGATGAAGCTATTCCTTCGACTTTATACAGAACTCCTTACGAGCCACTGAGACAGTACGAGAGCGAACGATACCGTTTGCGGCCTTCGCAACTGAGAATCTATGAGGACGCTGGACATCCGGCAGATTACTTCCGGTATGCATCTCGCTGACTCTTCTGTCACTTCCCTCTAAATAGTTCTTCTGAGTTTATTCATATCTGATCTCCCGCAATCGATGGAGATGCTAAGCAAGAGAATTACGCCCTCCCTCAGAGACCGTTTCGGTCGTCCGCTCACAGACCAAGGACTCTCCAGAAGCCAATATCTGGCGGTTGGCTCACGGGCGGGGCAATCCGCTGAGATCAGAGCCGCCCACGAAGGAGCTCAGCATGGTTATGCCGACAGCGTGCCTTATCACACTTCTGGAAATCGATTTTTCACAGACGTAGACGGCCAGGCAAATTACAGGAACTTCGACATAAATGGTGGAGCTAATAACGCGAGGTGAGCTCTGATTCATATTGAGCTCGATGTTCATTGTTAGTGTAGAGCCAGTCCCGAACCCGTCTTCGGTCGTTCATATAGATCAGTCCAGTTGGGTAGATGGGACATGGATCACTCATGGCGTAAGGGACAAACCCAGACGGGATCAATGCTTCGTTTGAGATTACCTGTTCGATTTAGCTTCGCCATTCCTTCAGGTACACGGTCCGCACTGGTAGCGATCCTGCGGCGCAGGATGGTCCCATCGTAGCTTTTGCGTCGTCTCCCACCCGGGATACTCCAGCAAAACTTTTCGTGAGAGATGTGCCCATCATCTTCTGAGCAGTGAGGGATGGGCTCGGTGCTCCGCGCGCCTAATGTCGTACAGTAACTATGACATGGTTGATAATTTCTCATTCAAAGTGTTTCGAATAAAAGGAGCTCCTCGGAGTCTGTCTCTTTTCTTTCAGAATATTGAAGCTTACTAGAGGGTAGATCTGTTCTAGGTTTGTCTTATTTAGTGACTCCTACAGTATTCGTCACTTTCTCCTTCGTTCTCGGACGCGGTGATCTGGGAATATGCGGTTCGCATTCTTGATGAGATTTCATCCGGAGCCCCGCTGACGATAATGATTATTTCTGAGCAATTTCTGTCCAGTCATCGTCTGCAGAAAAAAAAATCGATCCCCAGCCTCTCGATGAAAATTAGATCACCTAGCTTCTCGGCTCGGTGGGTTCCATGCCGAAATGAATTCGGATCCGCCTTGAGAGTACTGGAAATATCCACGTCGGGATCATTCCTCCGGTCTTCAATCCCGTCAAAAGCGATTCCTGGAAACCTCTTGCTGTTGCTCAGTCTGCGCGGCGAATGATCTCCGCGTCAGAGGGGCGAGCAGGCGGCTGGTCAGTCCAGCGAGAGCTCAGTCGGTTCGGCGGACAGGACGCGAAGAAACTCATATCGGAGAAGTTGTCGAGACGTCAACCGCAAATTCGAAAACAATCCAACGGCGATGAGTCTCGTCGTCGTCGCGGCATTCTGTGTCGCCTTTTGGTCAGGTGGAAGGAAGATGTCACAGAGAGCCGTCCTATTGATCGCCGAGCTCTAGATAGAATGTCTTCCATTCTTCGTTGAGAGCATTCGGAATGACAGCGCAGAAAGCAGTCGAGAATGGGTTCGGGGAGATAATGGGACAAACGATAAGAAGGGGTGGAGGGAGGCTGAGAAAATCCATCACTGCGCTCCGACGTATATATCGCCTTTCCGTCGGTCGAGCAGCACCTCATCGCTTTCAGATTTATCCGTGTTCAGCTCCTCAAAAATCGCCCCTGCAACTAGATGAGTGCCGGAGGCCGGAGCATAACTCGGCACTTCCTCGAGGTATTTATTCGGAACAGTGCCCATTTGAGGAGACAGTGTTCCACACGAAAATAGAATACGTTTCACACCCCTGATTCTCGGATTGATTCCGAGACGCTTCTCCGCGCTCCCATGAATCTTCGGCTGAGCTCTTCGAATCTCTCAACGCAATCGAATGTTCAAGCAGTCAGATGCGCTCCGCGCTTATCGGGAGAGTTTAGAGAAAACACGTTTTCTACCCAATGCGAGGTCTGTCGGATTTCGAGTTCGCTCCGGAGCGCGGCGGGACGGCCGCTTCGAAGCTCCAGAGCTGTCGCAGAAGAGAAGGAGACCGCAGCCTTTGGAGCCATATATTCGACGGCGTCGACGTCGGAGAAACGCGTCGGAAATTTACGATTCGTCGGATGTAGCAAGC